AAAAAAAAAAAAAAAAAAAAAAAAAAAAAAAACGAAATAACTCCCTCCACCTGACAGCATGCTAAGTTCCATACTGCCTCATATAGCAGCATTCCGATCGCCGACTACTTCGCACTCTTTTAACAACCACTGCGAAACGGTTAATGAAAACTTGAAACAAACTGAAAACGTTTCATGAATCACTGCCATTAATGAAATCGATGCTGATAAGCCAGTGAAAACACAGACTACAGTGGCCTTGGTGAAAAGTAAAATAAAAGGAGGGCTGTAAGAGTACGAAATAAGCTGGAAAGCAAGAAATTACTTCACTTCATTACAACGGCGCATCAATACCATTCTATTACCTTAACTTGTTAAACTTGAAAAAAATGAATACCAAACAACCAAGTTTGTCAACTTCAAAATCCCGTACTTTTCGTCAATGCACCTACCGTCCGTTCCCTATAGAACCAACCCAATCAATTTATCTTTCTATATTTTATAAAACTAGTGGTATTTAGCTATATTTGAACAGATATAAACGCAAGTATGATAAACTAAATTTTAACCAAAATGACGATTAATACAATTAAGAGTAAGTTCACGCTAACAGTCACCTTAGCCGCAACAAATTTCGCAAACTATTCTATTGTAACATGTTTTCACCTCTCTCTATCAAATCACTGCAAATATCAGCCAAGGGATAATATAATTTTTCAGCGAACCATGTACTTTTCAAAGGTGACAAATACAGGATGCATAAATTTTTTCCCTATCATCTAGGCGTCACCCATTAAAGTTCCAGTCATAAATAGATAAATATACATATATATTTACTAGCACAAAAAACTTTCCTTTCACTTGAACAGTCCTATCTAAACCAGCACGACAATTACTGAAGAAAAAGGGGAAGGAGAAAAGAAAAACATTTGCAATCCTTGTAAACCTAAGATGACCCGTCGCAAGTCTGTTCAGAATTGAAAGAAAGCGCAATGGCTACGCAATAAATGTCCAAACATCGTTAGCTGACAATTTTTATTCTTTTTATAACGCACAATAAAAAATGAAACAAACAAAGTCATTTTAGCTAGACTGCGTTCGGCAGTTATCAAAACTTCTGCTTAGATATTTATAAAACCTCAGCTTTAGCCCTGTTTTATCACTTCAAACTTTGGGGTCCTCCCTTCCTTCCAGCAGTCATCACTCCATAACTGAAGTAAACCTGCACAAAACGGAAGATTTGTATTTATAGTACCAAAAAAAACCTAACTGCGAATGCTCGGCCACGTGATGCTCTAAACTCAACAACAACTAACTCTCTATGCCACTTGGCTAGAAGAAACCCTCCTCCAATCAGTGTTTGGGGATACCAAATGACGCTTGTTAAAAGTAATTTAGAAGACATAACAAAAAAAAAACCATCTTTTTAAACAAGGAAAAAAAACTAGACTGAAAATCAAAGTGCATCCAAAAACATCCCGCAATGCATTCCCTATTATTTTTTGACGCTAAGCCAAACACTCTGATCGCGTGCGTGTATCTTAGCAGAACGAGGAACGGAACAATCACAGATACACAAACACACATACACATACACAAACAACACAAATACAGACATACCCCATAAGAAAGAGAGGACAGACAAACAGACACCGGCCGATGCACAAAGAGCAACGCCAATGCCACGGCAGCAAGAGCAAGTGTGAGGCAAGCAAACGAACATACAAACGTATATAAATGCAGACAGACAGGGAGCTGAACTAGGCTACCGCTGAACTGCAAAACGTAGAGCAAGCGAAACCAGCCACTGTCAGGGCTACGCACTCGTTCTACTGGTCGGTGTGTGTCACGTTCAGACAAGAACTGCTAAACTGAGACACTAGCACACATAAACATATAGTATACCTAAACACCCTTTAGAACTTCCTTTAGCCTGCTTTTCTCCCAAGTCTTCAATTAGCACCTTGCCAGACCAATTAATATTTTTTGTCACCTGGTTACCGTCGCAACGGTAATATGCATTCGGTAAAATAATAAAACCATACTTCACATGCGACTTAATTGTCTCTGTAACCCAAGCTTTCCTTAATTCTTCTAAAAGGAAACGTGTTTGTCTAATATTACCCGTTAATGTAAAGTTCAATAAAATCTAAACAGAAATTTCGTTTGTCAACTTTCAACTCGAAGTGGCGCAAACAAACGTGGGATTTACTGATGCTCGCAGAACAGCTGCTTTGCAACTCAATATCAGTCTTCGTGACTCAGTCTGATGGGAGCGATGTCCCACCTACCCTTAGTTAACTTTCAGGCTACATCCTATTTCCTCCAGAAAATTTGCATTCACCTTCAAACATCAACATTATGAATACAACCAAGAAAAATCTAACGAAGAACCCTTAAAAACCGTTATTTCAACCATAAAATGGCAGCGAATGACGTGCAACGAACGTCTCAACTACTTCAAGTATGCCACTTGAGGCCTGATATGACATAAAAAACACCACGCAGATTGGAACATTCACATATTTTATTATGTCGTTCATCCGGAAAAACTTACCAAAAAAAAAAAAAAGAAAAAAAAAGGAAAGAACAATTTCAAAAGAAAATCTAACGATGGAGAAAACAAAATTATCACATGGTCATTTTTCAAACTGGGGAGTGAAATTTGGTCCATTAAGGCAGCGGAATTTTTCAAATTTATTGTAACAAAATGATTCTGTATTATATCTACAATCGAAGAAGACAGGCAGAGAGGAGAACTACCACTCGTCAACCATGCAAAAGTACATATATGAACAACTGCAAATAATGTAAAAATAAGTTACAAGACACAGTAACAACAAAGTTAACAAACCCAATTTACAAAAAAATGCAGACACCTCTAAAAAATATCACAAACGATCATAATCACCATCCGGCCTGCAGGCCGGGGACCCAATTTGTGTACCAGGAAGAGTTGGACCCGATGCAATGGTTTGTTTTAACACAGTCCAGTCAAAAGTATAGTCATACTAAAAGAAGAGTAATCACTGATCAAGAACTAACCAATAAAGGCCTATTGAATGACTCAAATTGGGAGACAAAAGTGAATTAAAAATTGAAGATTTATGTTAAGAATATTGCAACTCTCTGCATATTTATAAGAAAAAACTTTATTCATTACATGAATATGTAGCTTCCAAAACAATGGTATGAACAGATGCTTCAAATAAAAGTAATCTGGGGATTCATCAAACCTCAAGCCCCGACAATAATTCAAATACTGAGAGAATTCTGCTGGAAAATTTTTACAAAGTATCTGCAAAAGAAGTTATTTTTAAGTAGTGACAGGGAATACTAACTGAAAGAATACAAAGGAAGTACAAAAAAAAAGGAAATTGTTTTCTCAAACAACACTATTTGAAATGCGCTATAAAACTTCGAGAAGCCAACAATATGAAAAAAGACGGTCAAAAAAGTGTTAAATCTCCTTCCATAACTTTACTTTTCCATTCCAAAGTTTTATTTGCACTTACAAACACCTAAACAGGGTAAAAAAAGTGGTTCTGTCGTGGCCAAACAACTGTTACCTGCCAGCTTCCTTCAAAGGAAAAAGTGAGAGTAGCTTATAGGGCTTGAATAATTCAAATTAGCGATTTAAGCAACCGAAAAAAACTTACTTCAACAGGAGTAGACATTTTCTTCTCACTAATTTTTTCATACTTCTGTCGTTTCGTCGCTGCTTTCAGTCCTTGCCAAGGTAAAGACCCTCTGGAAGCTGAGTGGTTTAAGCGTAACGCTTATTTCTATCGAGCTCACGAGTACAAAACGAAAAGTAATATAGCAAAAACCTGCTGAAATACATTAAAACGTAGCCTAAAGATTCCAAATCGTCACGGCGGGACTGCTCAATGCCTAAATGAGCATTAATAGAAGCGTATCTCGCCGTCCCAGTTAAACTCTGAAATAGTGATAAAAATGTGCAATTATGCCAATAGATAGTGAATAAAAAAAAACAGAAGTAGACGTCTTCATCTTCCTTGATTCAGGAATGTAACACCTGCACACAGTGAGTAAAAAAATGACAGATGCATACCTTATCTCCGCGATATGGAATATGCGAACGAAAAGGGGCAACATGATATCTTTTTGCTAATCCAAAGTCAATTAAAAACAGCCTACGAAAACTTCTGCCACTGCCCACAAGAAAATTATCAGGCTATAAAAATCATTCACTAAGCAAATGTAAAAGCTTTTGCTATAGTTACAAAAAATTTATATCAATAAAATAATTCTGGCATCAGTACGAGATTGCAAGCAATATTCCTCACAAAAGAATGGTAGTAGTCGGATAACTCTTGATAACATATTTAGCAAAATCATCAATTTTGAAAACTCTGTACGATATTATGAAACAAAATTTGTTTTAAGAATTTGTCCAGAACCCCAGTCAATCTCGTCCAGCTTACAGAACTTACTGCCCAAAAAGACAATATATTAAAAATATTTTAGGAGAAAAAAGAGATGTTCTTCATAGCTAACACTAATCCCTACCTAACAACATAAGAAACTGGTTGTTCTGTTGTACTAATCATAGCAGCATAAACTGTTTGTCACCTTAATATCTCGATGAATAAAATTCTTTCCGTGCATAAACTGAACAAGACCAATCATTTCGACAGCTAACATCAGG